ACATTTTCAGTTTTTAATTATGAATATACCAAAGGCCGAGGATAGAGCCGGACTGTTTTCTTGATTTGGTACTTCTTAAGCAATGAAAAGTTTAGTTTCAAGCAATCTCTTGGTTCATAATTGTTGAGGTTACGTCTTTTCCGAGTAAAAGTGTTTAATAAAAACGCTAGACGCTTCTGCTCTAAATGGAAGTAAGATCAACAATTAGTGTTTCTTAACTTGAGCCTTTTCAAAGAGTGCATTTCAACTTTGATAAAGTCCATCCTATCACGGACGCAAGGTCAGACCGTGTTTATCCAAAACGAGGGAGGATGCTTCATGGGCTGCCTCGCACAGAGCGTCTTATTAAAGCCAAACGGCTGTCTTGCCACAGCGGCCTACAGCATTTGCCACATTCAACAGCGAAACACTTGACTTGGGAGAATCAGTTTTCTCTCCTCTTTGCCTCAATCTACTTGGCCTGTAATTTCATTTACCACAAAAGTCCCGTCAACTCTTGTCTTCTGACGTGTCCTGGTTGGAGTAATTTCGATCTGTCTTCAGCAGCTTACAATTCGCGAAGAAGCATGCGTGGATCTGAAGACAAAATGCGACATGCTGTTTTTCTGACAGAACACTTGCTTTCGAAGCGAACTCGTCCATCTGCAACGAAGCCCATTAGCGCAGAAATGACGCCTTCCGAGGGTATCTACTTCAAATGCTCCAACAAATTCTATGACGGAATGCACTTATACTTTCTCATTTTGCTGGCCGCAACGGGGTTCAGGCGAATGGTCATTTGTCAGAGAGCCTATTGGGAAAGGTTGGCCCAACAAGCCCTATTGGACGAGAGTAAGTTTGAATGGCAGTGAATAAAATTTTTTTACCAACCTACTCACTATACCTATAGTAGTATGGTATTGTTTTATGTAAAAGCAGGTTTGCCTTGGTGGGATTGTCGACGAAGCAGTGTGTATTTTCTATACAATCGACAACATTATCTATTTTTCCTATCATAAATAGGCTTCCAAAACTACCAGTAGATGGGATATAAGAGCTGTATTCGCAATATTTCGTTTAATGCATTGTCCCACACGTTTACTGCTAGTTTCGAAAGCCTACGTACAATGCGCAAAATTGCTGAGCAGTTTCTCGATTAAAGCGCAAAAATGATGGCGCCTATTGTTGACTTTCATGGGCATGCATACATTGGCGGCATTATTTGATACAGTTTGCCAATTAAATTCATATTTTACCAACGTGTCGCACAAAATATAAATAAATATTTCTTGTATTTCTGCTAATGCTTAATTCAAATATTGTTTCACTTTCTAATTTTGTCCACTGCACATTGCATTTAATATGCATTCCAATATGTTGGCGTTGTTTACGTTGAAACCTTGCTTCATACAAGAGATTATATTTTTGCGCCCATGTTTACACCTTGACGACCATGCAATATGTTACTACCATATTTCTCTTCATTATTGACTATCATTTAACGTCTTAACTTCCGAATTTGCATATTCGTCATCACATTTACTATGTATATATGGTGGCACGACAAGTTGAGGTATATATAAGTCCACATTTTCAGTGAAAGTACTTTTACGATACTTAGTTTTGTGAATTTTAATTAATTTTAAGCATTCTTTTGAATAAATGTTACCTAAAATTATTGCTACTTCCTTCCAAACCGGGCAAATGTAATGCAACTTGTCGATATAGATGAATTCCGATAGCTACATTCAAGTAGACACTAATCTCAATGTATCTTTTCTTTTTTTATATGATGACAAATTGTGAAGTATCCCAATGTCTAGGGGAATAGCTCAGATGTCTATGCTTTGTGTAGATAAATACTCGTGTTCTATTTGCGATAAAGGTTTAGGTGAATTACAATACAATTTGCTCATTAATTTACGCCTTAAGTAGTGGACTGGTAGGAAAAGTTGACCTGACTCTAGACAAAATTTCATCTGAGGAGCATGGTCCGATGGGATTCTTAGCTGGTCTGGCTAAAAACGCATTCTAAATAAGCAGACGCTCATATTTGTTGAAAAGAGGAATTCGAAGTAAAAGATATGAAAAAAAATGTTATACAGGTCGGAGTTTGCTAAGGTTCTTTCTTCTCATCTTTCAGATAAAACCCAAGTGTGGAATCGTGCTTGCTGGATAAAATCCCTACTCTTAATTAGATTCGGGCATGAATCGCAAAATCTGAGAGCTGCTGAGTGTAAGGACTCGAACGATGATGTTATTTACAGCTTTCTCAGAGTTTCTCCGTCAACTTTTGACCAGCTTCTAGAACTATTGTTATGCAAACGCAACAGCAGCAGCTACTTTATTGCAGGTGATCGCGTATCCGCGTCTGCATTTGTGAAAACACCATCAGAAGCGAAGCGGCCGTTAAATGGCACAATGAAGTATAATTGTGTTTCGAGGAATCTCGTCAATTCCTTTATTAGAGTGACTTCAATTTCATACAAAAGCGCTCAATTAAGAGATTCCTCGGTCAATCGCACCATAAAACAACAGCTGATTCTTGTCGTTCTGTG